CGTGGGCAGTGTGTGAGAATCACTGCAGAGGGCATGGGGCTGGCAGGGGGGCAAAGGATAAGGGAATCGAGGCTCCAACCAGACGCGCTCATAGGAATTGAAGACATGATGTGACTGCATTTTTGCCATAGTGTCCTGGGATATTATAGTATTTTACTGTCCTTTTTAAACTATTAAAGGAGTTTAAAGAAATCCCTAATTTCTTGGCTTTAAAAATTAAAAGTTGTATTGGTATAGTGACCTACAAGTACTTTCACTCACTGAATTTAATCCTCAGATAACCCTGTGAGGTAGAATGACAGCTGTCCCCTTTATAGAGAAGAAACAGAGGCTCTGAATCTTACCAAAAGCCATACTGCTAATTAGTGGCAGAGTTGGGAATACATTCCTCAGTCCTAGTCTGTCTCTTAGCCTTAGAATTCTATTTTTTAAAATTTACATGAACTTAAATTTGATATTGTGTTTCCAACATATAAATATCAGAGAAAAGTCTTGTGGTCTCACTGATAGAGAAGCCGTTAGAGCTGCAGGACGGTGTCATCTTAGGATTATGATCGCCTGGTTCCGCAGGTGTCCCTGTGATGGGCGTGGCTCCAGGGGAGCTTGTCCTGCAAAGACCTGACCCTGGGGTGCTGTTGCGGAGGGCAGTGTTTGATTTGGCCGAAGTGCCTATAAAAAGTTATCGCCCTCCTGAGAGTATGGCTGCCTTCATCTCATTTCCCCCAGCCTCGTCCATTTCCAGCCTGCCTGCCCCACACCTGTGCTCACTCCAGTCCTTTGGCACTGTGAGGTGTGGGAGTGCTGAATTACCATTTCTTTTTTTAAAAGATTTTATTTGGGAATTGGGGGAGGGGAACAGCATTAGGGAATTGGGGAAGGGGAACAGACAAGTTGCTGTCCTTTTGTTCTTCAGTCTAGTTGTGGAGGAGGTCGCTTCACTGGCCCATGTTGGTATTGTGATCATTGTGCTCTTCCCGGGTGAGGCAGAACGGTCGCCAGCCTCTGGATGGCCACTAACGGTGGCTCTTGGCAGCTCACGCCGGCTGCCGGCCACGCACGGTAGCTTACAGGAGCCCAAGGCAGCCTCACTGCAGCCTACGCCGTCGCTGGTGACTCACAGCAGCCCAGCTCCGGGTCGAGCTGTTGTTCACCATCTTAGCTGTAGAGGGCGCAGCGTCACTGGCTCATGTGGGACCTGAACTGGCGGCCCTGCTGCTCAGAGCTCGCACTCCCAAGCCAACTCTTAACCAACAAGCCACTCAGCTGGCCTGAATTAAGGTTTCTTGATGACAAGAGGTGAGGCTTTTGGTTTTTTTATTCAAAATCAGCAGTTGGTGGAATTAATTGCTGTTTTTTGTTTGTTTCTTTGTTTGTTTTACAACTTTCAGATTATAAGGTTATAACCCCTTTCTCTTAGATCCCTTTATCTGTCAAAAATTGATCACACAAACTATAGTTTACCTGGCATGATCTGCTACCTGTCCACTAGGAACTACCTGGAAATAAAGATTCATCCTTTCAAACCTTTAAAACACTTTTTTTAGGTTGCGCGCCAAGATGTGAGCAAAAGTTATCTGTAGTCAGTGAACAGCTCGACAGTGGTTTCTGGGGAATGGATAATGTTCTTTGTCCCCTATGCAGCTCTATAGGGCATCGGCCTTGTTTGAGACCATCCGACACGAGGCACAGCTAAGCACAGACTACAAGCTCTCCCTCTTTGACCTGCAGACGTCATCCTACCAGGCCCTGCAGCGGGTGCTCGTCAGCCTAGGTGAGAGCAGCTGGGGTTCCCGCTTCGCGTGTGTGCGCTCATGAGCCTGTCATTTAGGGATCTCTGTGAGGAAATATGATTTGTTATTACTACAGACTGCGTAGCCACAACCACATTCCAGCTATTGAACATTTGTTCATTTACTCAGTACATGTTTGTAGAGCACCTACTATGTGCTGTGTGCCAGTCCTGGGAATTAAAGTCAAGAAGGCATGGTTCCTGACCTCAAGAAGCTCTTAGCCTGAGCGAGGCAGAGGTCAGTGAGGCTTGTATGGTGTGACTGGCACTCGGGTAAAAGAAACTCAGGTGCTGCGGCAACGACGCGGCTGGGCCGGCAGCCCTGGGAGCCAGAGGAAGTGCCCTGGAGACAGGGACACTTGAACCAGGGGCTCCCCCCAGGTTCCCTTCGCCACTGATTAGCGCTTGCGGGGAGAACCTGAGAAGACATCGGCCTTCCCTATTTCCTCTCCCACACATCTTTTAGTTGCTACCCAGCAAATGTTTTTAATACCTGGGTCTGCCCTCTAGACTGACAGAACCGGTGATAATGCTCCCAGGCCTGTGTGCTGCATCGCACGGGGGCAGTGTGCGTCTCCCCTCACTGGGGCCGTAAGTGCTGCAGACGCCCTCTCCCCTGTCTTTTGCCTCTTCTCAGACCTGTCCATCCCTACAGACCATTTTCCCCAGCCCAGAACTGGGGTTGAAGAGGTATTTATTGGAACTAACAATGTCTTTGACGTTGGATGTTGAGGCTTTTTCAATAACCTGTCTTTACTGTACTCGTATGTGTATGAATACTCAGACTTCCCCTGGAAACGTGTCTGTTAAATGTGCTCATTGCCTGGGATTACACTTTATCATCTATTACAATCACAGTGTTAAGTCTATCTAACACTTTGGGGCTGCTTTTTCCAGTGTTCACAGATCATCCCTGCTGTTCCAGTTAATAACTTACTAAAGTAAAAGAAGACAGTTACATATACACATATAAATCCCCACTTTGCACTGATACTTGAACTGTAAGAAGCGAGCATCCTTGAAAAGCTGCCAGAGCTGCAGCACCTGGCCTCCTGCCTCTGCCTCATCTCTCCTTGGACCCCAGTTCTAGCAGCTCTTCCACATTTGTATTTATGACACAAGCAAATCCCCCTTCAGAAATTGTAGACAATCCTCACTTGAAAGTATATTGATTTATATTTTTGTGCTCTCATATTTGTGCATTAGCTTTTAAACTAGGTTACAGACTAGTTTCTTAGAGGAGGTGGGATTAGAAGTTGGATTCAAAGACTGAGGAAAAGCTTGAAAGAGAAGCAATTTCAAAAAACTAGAGACCTCAGAGGGACCGGCATATGTAAAGGCACAGAGGTGTAATTTGAGGGGTGGGGGCGTGCGGGGAAGTGGGGCTGGACAGTGTGATGTGGAGAGGGGCTGCCCAGAGTAGAGACAGAAGGATGGTCGGGAGCCAAGTCCTGCAGGGTTCATCCTCCAATGTCAAAGCCAAATCGAAGTTGAGCAGGAAGTGAGAGGATAGCCCAAGTACAAGGCGTCAGGTCCAAGAGCCAAGTGAATGGGGTCAGAACAACTCAGGAGGTGGAGCAGACGCTGAGGATGAATCCCCTGAACCAACTTGGCTCTCTTGTGGGGTGGCTGCAAGACAGGACAAGGCCCAATGGCTTAGGATGGCATGGAGTCTGAAAAAGTGCGCTTTTATCGGAGTGGACACCACCCATCATCCGAGGCAGGGGTGGAATTGGAAACAGTGTGACTGAGACTCGGCCATGCATTGGAGTGCAGGGGCCGTGAGATTTTCTGAGTGAGCACACTCCCCATGGAGTCCTCAGCCTCTCCCTCTTGTCTCCTAGGCCATCACGATGAAGCCCTGGCCGTGGCAGAAAGAGGGCGGACAAGGGCATTTGCAGATCTTCTGGTAGAACGACAAACAGGACAGCAGGACTCTGACCCCTACTCCCCGGTCACCACTGATCAGATCTTAGAGATGGTTAACGGCCAGAGGGGACTAGTGCTTTACTATTCCCTGGCCGCAGGCTACCTGTATAGCTGGCTGCTTGCTCCTGGGGCAGGTAAGGTCTCTTTACGTGGGAACGGGGCGATTATACACTATACTGAAATGCCTGATGAATAGAGGTGAAAGGAGCATTACCATAGATCAGACGAAGGAGCTGACACCTGCTTTCAGCAAAATCTCAGCCACCTCCATATTCCATGGTGGGGGGCATTCAGTTAATAAGCCAGCCCAGCCTTCTCATTCCCCCAAGAAGTTGCTGCTCCTCACCAGCGAATGTGGAAGCATTTACAAAGGAAGGCTAAAAACAGGAGGATTAATTTCACCAGCAGCCCCATTTTTAGGCTGGTGTTGTTCATTAGCAATGACTGTAAGTCCTAACAAGTTCTTTCTAGATAGGATTTAATAATTGTGACCCTTTGTCACGGTCAAGTGAAAGAGACTAAAATGATAATGGCAACTCCTCTTACAGTATATAAGTGAAGTCTTACACTTGAAATTTCTGAGTCTAGCAGAACCCATTTTAACCAGTTCCGTTGTAAATCTATTTCAGAGGTAAAAATCCCCTTTGATTAAAATCAGCATTAAATGTTTAGGCTATAACAGTTTCACTAAATACTGACTCACTAATTAGCTGTTAGGGCCATATTTTTTTGCATAATAAAATGCTGATGGCTTTACCATGTTGGAGACACACCAGATCCAATTAGAGTTTATTGACTGGGGAAGTGGATCTTATAATTGGGAATCTTGAAGAATGAGCCTCTTGAATATCTGTAAGCCAATTTCAAAAAGTTCAACTGCCAGGAGAATTGACAAGATTTTCTTGATTATGTTTCCATCCCTTTGATTAAAAAAAATGATGACTGGATGACAACTCTCAGATGCTTCTTGGGTTCTGAGCACTCATGCCTGTACATTCTGTGCCTCAGCGTTATTGTTTATAATTTGTTCCCCTTAATTACATGTCTCTATGGGCTTTTCATGAGGAACATTTTTACCTCTTACCTTTTTATGCTAAAGGTTTTAAGCTGTGATGCTCGTGGTGACGTGGCGAGTTTCAGCTACAATGTAATGAATCCCCATGTGTCTAATACCCAGGGGGACACGTTGACTACGGAAGTATCAAGCTCTTTCTCTCTGTGGTTGTTAAGTTCTGGGGACATGATTTGACAGGTGGTATATCCAAATCCCTGTAATAATGAGCCATGTATAATGAGGCTCCTATTGTTTCGCTTTCTGTTCCTCTTTGCTCTTAATGAGACTCTGAAGCTTTGGGGGGGGGGCTGTAATCCAATCAGAGAGGACCAGCCTTTTCCAGTGCTGACATACCTCATTACCATTTGAGAATATGTCCTATATTTATTACCAGAAAACCACGATGGATTCCCTCAGTTTCATGTAGCCATCATTTTTTGCTTCTTTAATCCATCAATGACCGTTGACCAGTTAGTCTTATTTAAAAATGGTTTAAGATGTCTTTATCTGGCCTTTGTGCTACATATTTATTTTGATTTGCTTTTGCGAAACAAAAGGTCTTTGAGTAACACAGTTCCCACTTGGCTTGTTGTACTTTTGTGCAGGATGTCGTTTCCGGGGAGACTGCACCCTGGCATGCTCATGCACTGTTCCTGAAAGAAAACTTTCCCGAGTTGGTGCTTCTGAGAAGCACCTGTTTTGAAATCCCAATGAAGTAGTCATCATCCCAGGAGCTTCTGAATATATCGTCAAAAGCAAAAGCCCGCTCTTGAATTCCCTGGTTTCAAGTACCAAACTTAATGAGGAAAGATCTAAAAAGGGTACCGACCAGACTTCTAAAAACCCCCTTGAGACCTTGGATTTCAGAATTTCTTCACATGGTTTTGGAGGATGACATGCTTGCCAGGGAGGTCACACAGCATCAGCATTGCTGTTACCTGCCCTCCACCTCTCCTTCCCCCAGCCCCAATCATGCATAATGTTGGCTGTCCCTGTCTTGTTTCAGGAATTCTGAAGTTTCACGAACACTACCTGGGTGATAACACAGTGGAAAGCTCCAGTGACTTCCAGGCTGGCAGCACTGCAACTCTTCCAACAGCCACCAGCTCGGCCCTAGAGCAGCACATCGCCAGTGTGCGGGAGGCCCTGGGGGTGGAGTCTTACTACTCGAGGCAAGTAGCATCACGTTCCCAATCAGCCTACAGAGACGGTCTCAGGGTTGTTTGTTTGTTTTGTTTTTTCTTTTGTAAATATACTACTGGAAATCTTATGACATTCTCACTTTTGTGCTTGGTCTAGTCACAGTTGCTATAGCAGAGAGAAATACGTGTCTCTGGAGTGCAAACCCCTTAGTGAGCTAAGCTCATTCTTTTTGGTAGTTTCCTTTCAGACAAGGAAAGGCCTCATCAGAGATGTCCATTTTTTAAGGAGAGTATATAGAATGCTTAAACAAAAATATGACTGACTTTAACATACCAGTTCATTAAAAGTGAGATGAGGTTTTAGTTATAAACAGATTCATAATGAGTTTGTTTGTACTATAGCTGAACGCTTTTTTGAGAGAGTAATTTAGCACCCATGACAGGGTCTGTGTGTAGGGGGGCTGAGGTGAAGGAAGTTGAGCTCCCAATATCAAGGATAAAGGAGAGAAGGGCTCTTTGCAAAGACTGTAAAAGTTATGTACTTATGGAAACATTTGGCCATGCTTGACTACTTTACATATGGGAAATAGCTTCCACAAGCACCTGTTTCTGGGGAACAGACAAAAAGAGGGTGCCTGAGAGCTTGGTCGAGGCCAGATTTTCCAGCCTGTGATTAACAAGTGTTGAGAAGGCCTGTGTGTCAGAGAATCTGCTGTGTTAGCTCCAACACAACAGGTGTCAGGTCCCAAGGATATCTGCTTGTCTCCGGAAGGCTTTCATTTGTAATCAGGAAAACCCTAAGTCATTGTTCTGATTTCTTTTTTTTTTTTAAGATTTTATTGGGGAATTGGGGGAGGCGAGCAGTGCTGGGGAATCGGGGGAAGGGGAACAGACAAGTTGTTGTCCTTTTGTTCTTCAGTCTAGTTGTGGAGGACGTCGCTTCACTGGCCCATGTTGGTATTATCATTGCGCTCTTCCCGGCTGAGACAGATTGGTCACTGGCCTCTGGACAGCCACTCACGGCGGCTCTTGGCAGCTCACACTGGCTGCCAGCCGCTCACGCTGGCTACCAGCCACACACGGTAGCTTATGGCAGCCCACTGCAGCAGGGGCTGCAGCCTACGCCATCGCCGGCAACTGACAGCAGCCCAGCTCCAGGTCGAGCTGCTGCTCACCATCTTAGCTGTAGAGGGCAGTGTCACTGGCCCCCATGTGGGATCCAAACCAGGGGCCTGCTGCTCAGAGTTGGCGTCTCAACCAACGTGCCACTCGGCTGGCCCCCATCATTGTGATTTCTTTAGGGGTGCTTATCCAAGACTCCTGAGTGTATAGTGGTCATTGCCAGCAGCTGGACTTATCTTTGAAATGCTTATGAAGTTGGGAACACATTCTAAGATGAAAAATAATCTTTGAATAATGTGATGTCAAGACTGAAAGGGGCTGTACTGGTCATCTCGTCCAATTCCTTCATTTAACAGAAGCCAGCACTGACTCGAGCTTGCTGACAGCTGAATTAGTGTCAGAGCCAGGATCAAAACAATCTAGATCTCACCCCGACTCCCCGGCCAGTGCTTCTTTTGTTTTTAATTATCAAAATTAATATCATGCTTGGAGAAAATAGCTGAGGCGTGTAAGACTGTCATCTCTAGCTTCTGCTTGTGTGAAGTCTGAACAGGCATCAGCCACATGCACACACTGTTGTCTGTTTTCTTCTCTGACTGCTGCACACCCTGGAGCAACCCCCTCCTTAACCCTGGGTGGTGTTGCGGTGATTACAGGGGCTTGACTGTGTGTAAAGCCCAAGGACTCGGATGTAAGAGGCAACTCCCTGAGATCTAATTGGCCATAACATAGGTTAGGCCAGGGACGTACAAAGCTGCTTCAGCAGACAGAAAGACACTTAGGCCAGTCTGATTAAACTGTACCCTGACCAAAGGTATTGCACATCCACAGCAAGTATCAGAGGGGAGTAGCTGGCCAGCAGCAGAAACACACACAAAAGCAGAGTAAGCAGGGCAGACTTGGGCAGTGCCCGTCTCTGACACTGTCAGACAGACAGAGAAGCTTGGCTAAGGGACTCGAAGTCCCAGTGGAGACTGTTACCGTGGTGGACTTGCAGTCTTTGTGCTCTCTTATCCTTCCTGCCTTCCTTCCCTTCCATAAAAACTTGAGTGCCTGCTATGTACTATGTACACTCGTGATTGGAAATGGAGGGATAAGTAAGACAGGCATGACTCCAGCTCTCAAGGAACAGAAAGATAATAAACAACAGAGCATATAACCTCTTTTCATTAAAATTATTCTAAGTACTTAAATGAAAATGCAGGGTGTAATGAAAATGTATAAGTGGGCTTGGGAAACCTACACCGAGGAGTTATGGAGGCTTCCATGAGGAAGGGATATTTGAGCTGAGCTCAGAAGGAGGACGAGAAATTAACTAGATGGAGGCCACCCCAGGCATGTGCGCCAAGGCCTTTGGTCACCCTCAGTGGAGAAGACCTCACAGGTGATCTTCCTTCCCGTGTTCAGGTCCCATGCTTCTTTCTGATTGTCATTTGGCTTCTCATGTAAATCTACTTGCAGCTAGAGAATGGGCATGATTAACTGACATTCTGATTGGTACACGTCTGCAAGCTTGGTTAGTGAAAGTGGGCTGCCAAGAGGCAGAGCCTCTGAGCACATCCAATCGTCCTATTTTCAAAGCTGTAAGGCCACAGTCCAGAGCTTGAACTGAGATAAGATGGTGAAGGAACCCGGGTGTGTGACACCGGCCGTGTGAGCCTCTGCAGGTGCAGAGGTGGTTTCTGTGTGCCGTGGCCCTTACAGCAATGTGGTGGCACGCCCAGGTCATCTCCGTTCAAACCAAGCATTACTAGAGATCAGCCTGGGTGAGAATACAGATTCCAATTGCTCCCAATTTTCATGGAACTAGATTAAAAGTCATCATAAGAAGGAAGGTTACCCTTTGACTCTTCCCATCACCCCTCCTATCGGCATGATGGTTTAGCCACAAACACTTGCCCCTAAGCATCCTTTTACGTGATACATGAGGTTAAGTAATTTTACCTCCAGGTGCCTTTTAAATTGAAAAAAAAAAAAGGCTTTCAGGTTATGGTTCAGCTCTTCATCAATGGCAGGGGGCGAGGAAGGACCGTAGCTTGCTTGTGTTCCCCTCATTAATCTTTGCCCCTCTGCTCTGTACGGACGGTTAACAAGTTAGGACGAGTCCTTAGGCTCTCTGGGATGCTGGGTGGCTTGATGCTCAGCGTGACTTTGTTGGGCAGCCTTCAGGAGCTCCGACCGTGTTTGCACTGCCAGAAATAAGGTCTTTCCTGTTGCTTTGAACTAGTCTTTTAGAAATTTGTTCACATTTTATGAGCTTAAACTCAGGTTCTTGTGATATTAAAATTGAACGCTTTAGTGGCATGATTTGAACTTACTAGAGTTTTTGTGAGACTGGTTTCTGCCTCAGTTTAATAAAAAGAGTAAGAAAATTTCAATGACAGATAAATTATTTTTCATCTATAAAATTAGTAAATGTTTTTAAAGCCATAATGCTCAATGATGGTAAGGATGCAGTAAATGAGCAATTGCATACCCTAGTGATATAAATTGGTTTAGCCTTTCTAAAAATAATTTGCCAATCATACCAAAAATCTTTATAATGTTCATGTCCTTTGACCCCCAAATTTTCATTTTAGAAATGGAGTAAAGATGTATACATAGGAATACTTATTATAGGCCTATATATTATAGAAAAAATTAAAAACAACCTAAGTGTCTACAATAATTCAATGTCAAATTATTTCGTATCTATCCAATATAATACTATGTCACAATTAAAATTGCATTGACAGGTTTTTTAATAACATAAGCAGATGTTTGTGACAAAATATTAAGTGAAAAATACAGTATAGAACTATTGTATATAGTATAATTTAAGTTTTATAATATAGACAAAGTATGGGTATGAAAAGTAAGAAAAAAAATCCTTGGAAGAAAATAGGCCATAGTGTTCAGTGGTAACTGTAGGTCGATGGTGAAATTATAGATGCTTGATATTTTATTCTTTATATTTCTCCTTATTTTCAGTTTTTCACAATGGATGTGTATTACTATATAAGTCAGAAATAGCCATGAAAAAAAGAAAGAAAGAAATAATCATGAATAAACAACTCTGTCATTCAAAGGGGAAAAAAAAAAAGAAACGCTTTTATAATTTCCGTTTACAGAGAATGAAATCCGTGTCAGAGCCCAGCACCAAGACCTAGCTCCAGGAAGGGGTTCTGGGTTTATATTTCATTCTTGACTTCTGGTGAACACCATGTCCTGGTCACCACACCTTCCTCTCTGTTCTCTAAATGTCGTCTGTGGCTCCTTCCCCTCCCTCAGGCATCTCTAACCTCTGGATCTGTAGGGAAAACTGCCCACTAAACATGTCTGCCTGGGTATTTCCAGCCATCTCTAGCCTAAAATATCTGAAGCCCAACTCTTGAGTTTCCCCATTTCCCCTCCAAGTCAGTCAGTGTAATACACCACATTAACAGAACAGAGGACAAAAGCTACACGATCATCTCCATAGATGCAGAAAAAGCATTAGACAATATTAACACCCTTTCATGATAGATAACACTCAAACTAGTAAAAGAAGGAAATTACCTCAACATAATAAAGGCAATATGTGAAAAGCACCCAGCCAACATACTCAAAGGTGGAAACTGAAAGCTTTCCCTCAAATATCAGGAACGAGGCAAGGATGCCCTCTCTTGCCATTTCAACACAGCACTGGGAGTTCTAGACAGAGCAGTTAGGCAAGAAAAATGCAGTACAAGGCATCCAAATAGCAAAGAAAAAAATTTAATTATACCTGTTCACAGATGACCTTGGTAGAAAATCCTAAAGATTACACACACACACACACACACACACACACACACACACACACACACTGTTAGAACTAATAAACAAATTCAACCAAGTTGCAGGATGCCAAATCTACACACAAAAATGAATGCCACTTACAATAGCAT